TCAAGAATGTCAGAATTAATGTTGTCTGTGCATCTTGAATTCAAGCCTTTGAGTCTTTACTGACATCATTAGACATTGGCTTTAGCCCAGCTCTCCAACAGCATCCCTTGCACAGGAATGATGGGACAGCTCGCTGAGAGCTTTTTAAATAAAAGAGATCTCCGTTACTCCCTGGATAGCCAGTTGTTGTGTTTATCTCCAGCTATCAAATCCCATAAATAAATTCCCCGATGCTGCGAGGTTCTTCCGTGTCCTACTCAAACCGTGTATCACACGTTAAAGATTCTTGAGAGACAGTACTTGCTGGTCAAGAAGAGTTGTAAGTCTTCCGTGTCCTACTCAAACCGTGTATCACGTGGTAAAGATTCTTGAGAGACAATACTTGCTGGTCAAGAAGAGTTGTAAGGACAGGTCAAAAGTAGGTACTGATTTTGTGTTTCCTGATGATTTTTGGGAGTTGCTGAGTGCATAGGCTGCAACACTTCCATGTCCAGAGCACCACTGGTGCCCATCCTGCTGGCTGGGAGATGCCGGTTCTCACGTCTTTCCAGCTGTACAGCCACAAACCATGGGTGGGCAGGTAGTGGCTGCCTTCAGGAAGTCTGGTGAGGTGATTTTTCCAGCTTTGTGACAGAAATCAGAGCGAGGTTTCTTTCCTCACGAGCAGCTTTACAGCGTCTGAACACAGAGAGTGTTCATTCACTCCTCCCAGGGTCTGTCCCCTTTGCTGATGACGTTTCAAGCTGCGTAACAGCTGCTGTGGTTTAGTCGCTGTTTTATTCATATTTCTCAACAATTTCATTCACTCTCTGACCTTGATTCACTTTTCTATTCATCATCATTAGAAGCAGACAGGGCACCTGGTGAAAATACAGGTGCGTTCCTGTAATTGTAGATGTGCTCGTGTAATTAAAGACTGTATCATTAAGACGTTCGTGCAGCAGGGAAGAGGGAACGCTGCACAGCAAATATTCATCCTGGGACAGGCATCCAACCTAGAAAACTCCACCCCAAGGCAAAAAGTCTGGAAGAAGTTTGGGTATTCATAGAATCATAGAATTGCCCAGGCCGGAAGGGACCTCCAAAGGCCATCTAGTCCGACCCCCTGCAGTCAGCAGGGACACCCCCAACTAGACCAGGTTGCCCAGGGCCTTGTCAAGCCTCTCCTTGAATATCTCCAGGGAAGGGGCCTCAACCACCTCCCTGGGCAACCTGTTCCAGTGCTCCACCACCCTCACAGTGAAGAACCCTCTCCTCATCTCCAGTCTAAATCTGTTCCCCTCCAGCTTGAAGCCATTTCCCCTCGTCCTGTCACTGCAGGCCTTTCTAAACAGGCTCTCCCCAGCCTTCCTGTAGCCCCCCTCAGGTACTGGAAGGCTGCTATGAGGTCTCCCCGGAGCCTCCTCTTCTCCAGGCTGAACAACCCCAGCTCTTTTGATGCAGCCCAGGATGGGATTGGCCTTCTGGGCTGCAGCTGCCCACTGCCTGCTCATGTCCAGCTTCTCATCCACCAGCACCCCCAAGTCCCTTTCCTCAGGGCTGCTTTCCAATCCCTCACCCCCCAGTTTGTATTGGTGGTGAGGATTGTTCCGGCCCAGGTGCAGAACCCTGCATTTGCTCTTGTTGAACCTCATGAGGTTCACCTGGGCCCACCTCTCCAGCCTGTCCAGGTCCTTTTGGATGACATCCCATCCCTCTGGTGTATCAAGAACACCACACAGCTTGGTGTCGTCTGCAAACTTGCTGATGGTGCCTTTAATCCCCCTGTCTATATCATTGATAAAAATGTTAATTCAAAAAGTAGGGAGTGCTGAACCATTTGCAAGACCAACTTCTATATTTTATATTTATTTTTCTAATATAATGTGCTTCTAACATCATCCTCTTCTTTGGCAGTGGACGAGATGAGGACAGTTCTAGGTGTTGCTCCTTATTGAGTGGGAAGTTTCATAGGCTCAGGGCTGGATCGTGGTCCTCTCGCTATTATAATTTTATTTAGCTTTGGAAGAGGAAAGCTTTTTCTTACAAATGCCTTATCCTGATTTTCGTTTCAATTTCTGTGTAAAATACCTCATGCTGTAGACAGAAAAAGACTAAGCGTAAGAATTTAAGCCAAAGGAAGGATTAGACTGGAAATCCCAAAACTACCCGCGCTCCTGATATGGGAATTAATGAGAAGCTGGGTTATTTTGGGAACGCCTGCAGCCAGCGCCGCTCTGTTTGCGGGGGAAACAGCTTCCATCCCTGCTTTGCTGTGGGAGGAGGCAGTCACCAGTTAATATCTCAGGCCTCCTGTGCTATTTATAAGCCATTTTATTCCAAAGCCCTCTGTGATGGTGGACTCTACCTCCTTTATTTAGGTATATAACCTGGAGGGAGCCCAGTCTCCTTCTTGCCTTCCAGGTTATTGAGCACAAGGCACCAAGCAGGAAAAAAAATGGATTTAAATGGAGGAGAGAACACTTGGGGTGCTGTGCCAGGGGTTGGATTCTTCAATCTGTCCAAGAGTGGAGCCTGTGCCCTCAGGGATTGAGAACTCTTGTGCAGATCAGCTGATTTTTTTTCTAGGTTGGCTTGTGTTTAAAAGCAAAAATAGCAAAAGCTCTTTCAGATCCTTGTTTTTCTCCACACTGAGTGTGTGTCTCTGCTCAGCAGTCGGGGCTGATGGTCAAAATTGGCTCGTGCAGAGGAAGCAGACTTCCAGTTTGGATTTTTATTAAACAAATAAGGTCATACTTTTTCAATTTCCCTTTTAAAGTATGCATTTGTTACTAAATTTCACCCCAGTGTTACTTGCTTGAATCAAATTTTAGGCTTGAATCAAGCAATATTAGCTTTGAATCAAATTTTTTGTGTCATAACGATCAGGCTAATGTATTTGTGCTAATGTATGTAATTTGTCGTTTCCCCCCATCAAATGGAGCCAGGATGCAGAGTGGTATCTCACCAGCCCTCATACTGGTAATGGAGATTTCCCAGTAACCAGACTGGTTCTGCCACAGGTGCTGTGAAGTCCAGAGTGGTCACAAGTGTGTGTTTATGTACAGATCTTCCCACTTTACCTTAAACTTGAGCAGCACATACTAGAAGACATTTCTGTTGAATAATCAGTGTACATATTTGCCTTGTAAATAAAAACATTTTTATTTGGAATAACTCAGAACCTTAAATATCTTAAAACAGAAAAACCACTCAAGTCTGAGCAGGTAACTCTGTAAGATTTATGCAGTGTGAACTAATAACAGAAAATGTCCTTTTTTGTCTTCGGCCTAGTGTATAAATCAGCTTGAAGATACAATTTCCAGCTCTTCCCTATAGTTTTGGTTAATTTTCCTGCAGGGGGAGGTGTAGAGTCAGAAATGTTGCTTTTTTGTTTAAAGCCTCTGCTGTTGTTCAGCCTCCTCCCTGTCTGCTCTGCGTATGGTGAAGCTGTTCATGCCCGGTAGCAAGCTCACAGCTAGGAATTAGGGCTTTCTTGCCAGCCCCAGAATTGTGTATGATGAGTTTTATTAACCCCAGCTGACGGTAAATAACGAGGAACCACGCGGGTTTATTGTTTGATTTAAAGGTGTCTCAGCAGCAATTTGCAAAAGGAAAAACAGGGGAAAAGGGATTAAACAGAGGGAATGGCTACGGTAAAGAGCTCTCTCCTTTTTATATCCATTTTACAGGTATTTGTGTACACAAACACCTGTATTCTCACATATATGCATACGGACACGTGATGAGTGAAATACAGCATAAACCACCTCTTCTGGGTCGTGATTTCTCATCGTTACTGAGTTTTGAATACATTATGTCCCCATTTATGCAGTTTTCAAACCCCAAGGATGGATCTGGGCGTAGGAAGAGCAATGTTCCTCTATTAGTTTTCTTTCGAAACTGTAATGTATTTATATTGCTACAGTCTCAATAAAAGCCTCCGAGTGTCTGAGCAAGGAAGAGGATTTCTGGTTAAATTTGTCTGTGCACCAGCCTAGCGAGGAGTTTGTAGGATGCTCCTCTGATACCGAGGCAGCCTGTTATTTTTAAATCTAAAAACCTTGATAGTAGAGCTTAAAATTGCTTCCTATTCATTATTCATACCTTATTTTTGGAAAATACAATCCCCTGGCAGTGGTACGTTATTTCGTAGTAGCTGTTTGCGTTTGTGCCTTGTTATTTCAATGTTGTTTTTGTTTAGAAGATACGGGTTACCTCTCTTGCACCCATTTTACAAACAGGAGTGTAATTCCTGGCACTGGCAGCTTGGGAAGCTCAAGGAAAAGGGGAGATGTGCACAGCTGGTTTCATCCTCCCCTCCCTATCAGTGTTTATTTACCATGGGGGAGATGTGCACAGCTGGCTTCATCCTCCCCTCACTATCAGTGTTTATTTACCACGGCTGTGAGAGCACCCAGCTTCATTTTGGGCTGTAACCACAGCTACGCCCGACAGCAAACCTTCCCCAAGGTGGGGGGATAATTGGGAGTAATTGTCACCTTGGCAATAATGTCAGAAGATGTCTCTGGGAGGCCAAGTTGGGAATTGAGGGATGGGGTGGGTTTGCTCCTGGAAAGACTTCGGCGTGTTGGCTCTCTCGGATTTGGAGGGTCTCCTCCGGTAGCGGGTTAATTCTCTTTATGCTGTTGGGAGTTTGCTGTTAAGCCAACAACCGGAATTACTTTAATATGGGAAATGAATCTCAAATGGCAAAGATCAGTCCCATTTGTGTGCGTTGGAGCAAGCCTGGCCCGATGATGGGAGATGATAACCTCCTTCCTGGCCCCGCCGCCACAGAGCTCCCACTGCTGCAGAGCAAGATGTGCCTTTGGGGCAGCTCTCTTCATAGCAAAACATTACAATAGAGACTTGAGGCCTTGCCTCAGTGTTTATTAATTTTGGAAATACCTGTGTGCTTCAATGCCTTTTTAAAACATGCCATTTTTAATTAGGATTTGGAAAGGGACAGTTGAGTCGGGATCCAAATTAATCTTCCCCACATACTGATACCTACCCCCATGGGTGTGGACTATGATTTGTGAGGCTGCTGCAGAATGAAAAAAATAAAATACTTCCATTTAGTTACTTTTCTGAAGATTTTTCTGCCCTCTCCTTGTGCTGTGTGTTGTGTGGGGTTTAGGTTATTATGGATTTTTGTCTGTTCTTCTTTGTGTCTTCTTGGGTCTTTTGCTTCTCTGCTTCTCCTCCAGGCTCCTCTCACTGCTCTTGATCAGTTGGCTGCTGGGGCTCAGACTCTTCCCAGTAAGCCAGGGTGGAAGAAGAGCTGGGCTCTGATCTGTTTTTTTCACCCTGGTAAGACTAAAATGTGTCCTTGAGCTCCTTCTCCACCTCAGAGAACCAGAACTGATGTGTGCTTTTCCTGGGAAGGGTGGTGGGTGCTTCAGGCAGCCGACGGTCTGCACGCTGGAGAAAATAAGGTGAAAAGCTGCCTGATGGCTCCAGTTGTGCAGTTGTGTTGAAATGCACTTTACTCTGGCCGTGCCCACAGCAGAAGTGGTCTCTTTCCACCCGGCAGTTTGTGTAAGAGGATGGCTGGTGCTTTAGCAATCATTTCCCCGTGAAATCTGATTGGAGCCTTCTGAGGCTCTTTTTTTTTTTTCCCCCTCCTGTATTTACACTACAGCAATTTCAAAACCCTTTTATTAAATCTAAACCCCACTGTTTGATAGTTCATATCTAAACTGTAATTACCCAATATGGAGATGCAAGCAGAAAATAATTTCCTAGGGAGGTTTACACAAAAGGGAATAACTGTGATTACATTTTTTTTTCCCCTGGTCCTTTGAGAAAATCTGGACGAGGATGGCTGGAGCGAGGAGCGATGATAGCGCGGCGCAGATACAAACCTGATGATCTTACCCCGGTGCTGTTGAGGTTTCCGCTCCAGTGGCTTCCTTAAAGGAGCCTTGTCAGGAAGAAAAATCACATTGCTGGAAGTGGGTTGTGCAATCAATCACCGGCCACCGAGAAAGTGGGGGATCAGATGGATTCCCTTTTGAATTCAATCAAAACACTTCAAAGAAACGGGCATGTCTCTCAGCTGAGGTATTTAATCATCTGTTTGGTGCCTGGCGCCCTGGCGCAGTTGCTTAATGAGACTAGACTTTTGTAATCCTAGAAAAGAGAGGCCAAAAGATAATTATACAAGTTATAAACCCTTTTCGTTCTAGATACCAAGTTTTTGGATAATTGCGTTTTCTTGGACTGGCCCTTGAGCAGATTAATTTACAGAAAATAATGGGCTTTTTTTTCCACCACTGGAATGGTATAAACTACTATTTTCTAACCTGTTGTCCCTGCATCCTGCTGTGCCTGGGTTATTTGTGAGGGCTCTACGAAAGGTGACAAAGCAGCACACGTTTTGATATGAGCTGTATTGGCTACCCACGAGGAACTTCTGAAGGTCCATGGAGCGAAGGAGGTGGAAAATTGCGATGTAGGCAGCCAGAAGGACTTGATGAATGTGCTCAGCTCCTCCTGGTGAGGCCAAATTCGGTGGCCTTTCCCCATGCAGAAACCTTCTGAGCCACCGGTTGTGGCAGTGTGTGTTCCCAGCTCTAATGAACGCGAGATTGCCAACCCTTAGATGCCATATGGAGCCTCCACCGATCATCCTTGTACTTGAGAAGATCGAGGCGTGCTGCTGGTCTCTCATTCTGTTCTCCTGCCCCTCGTCGCAGCCCCCGTGGCCGGATCCAGCCAGACATCGCTCCTCAGGCCCATGCATCATCTGTGGGGGGGGGTTATTTTTAGGCATTCTGTGGATAAGTACTAAATTCGGAAAAAACAAAGGGATATCAGGACCAGCAATGATTGAATAGTCTCCTTTCAAAAAGCACAGAAGGTTTTATTCCCTTTCTTTGGAATCAGAGTCCCAAATAGCCAGGGTATTTCCCTTCCAAAAAACGCAGGGACTCGTTGCACTGGGACAGACTTTATCAGGGGGCTGGGGAGAAAACCTAAAGGGAAATAGGTGCACCAGAAGTAGGTATCTCACTGCTTGGGGGGGGGGAACAAATGCAGATTGGGATGGTTGTGGCTCTGTAGAGGTGTGTAAGTAATTTGCATTACTTCTTTCTGCATCTAAATAGAGTAGAGCCTGGTAATAATCCTTTACTACCCCCAGCCCTTTCTTTTGGGATCAGACGTGTTCCTGTGTCAAATCTACTAATTTTCTCACAATTTCTATGCCCTTCCTCTCTTCTCAGTCCTCTGTGGGATCCACACCAGCTTAGGTTCAGGGTGTTTATGTTGGATTTCTTCAGAGAAGGGGTCAAACTGTTTATATTTTCTTTCTGGAATAGATTCTGGGAGTCTCAGCTTTCTTCTATGGATCTTTGTGTTCAGATATAAGATTCAGTATATCTATGAGTTAATCTAGACATCTTTTTCATCCTTTCAGAAAGCACAGAAGGTTTTATTCCCTTTTTCTGGAATCAGAGTCCCAAATAGCCAGGGTATTTCCCTTTTCTTCCAAAAAATGCAGGGACCCGTTGCACTGGGACAGCCTTTATCAGGGGGCTGGGGAGAAAACCTAAAGGGAAATAGGTGCACCAGAAGTAGGTATCTCAGTGCTTGGGGGGGAAAACAAATGCAGGTTGGGATGGTTGTGGCTCTGTAGAGGTGTGTAAGTAATTTGCATTACTTCTTTCTGCATCTAAATAGAGTAGAGCCTGGTAATAATCCTTTACTACCCCCAGCCCTTTCTTTTGGGATCAGACGTGTTCCTGTGTCAAATCTACTAATTTTCTCACAATTTCTATGCCCTTCCTCTCTTCTCAGTCCTCTGGGGGATCCACACCAGCTTTGGTTCAGGGTGTTTATGTTGGATTTCTTCAGAGAAGGGGTCAAACTGTTTATATTTTCTTTCTGGAATAGATTCTGGGAGTCTCAGCTTTCTTCTATGAATCTTTGTGTTCAGATATAAGATTCAGTATATCTATGAGTTAATCTAGACATCTTTTTCAAAAGACATCAGAATTGTTTGCCTTTCTTCAATTTGCTTGTCTTAGGGACAAAGAATAGAAAAAAAGGAGGGTAATGTCTCCTCAACCAGGCTTGTTGCTATTTCCTAGTGAGTTTTAGAAGCGTAAAAGCTCCACGTGTTTTCCCAATTCCACGTAGTTTTCCTGAGCTCAGCGTTATCTCCAGGGGAAGCAAAAGTATTTTATCTCTGCAGATGTGAATGCTGTTCCCTTCTGCGTCTCGCCGTGTGTTTTGATTTCTTTGTTTTCTCTCCAGCCCAGCTCTTTCAGGTTCCTCCGCTGGGTTTCTGCAGTCTCAGTCCCAGAAGGCAGCTGGTGCCTGTTTTACCCTTTTCTTTTACAGCTCGATTCTCTGCTCTGACGTTCAGCATTTCTTCCCTCCCAACCCTGTTCTCAGCAGGCGTTTCCATCGCGTGGGAGTGGAGTGTCATGTCCCTCCGGTCTTAAAAGTGTGAAAAAGCTCTTTCCTTCAGGAATTAAACAACTGATCTTCCATCCGCTCGCTGGTGGACTGTTCTCTAAGCTTCACCCAAAACATCCGTGTAGGATCTAACGTAGTTTAAGTCTTTCCCATCTCAGGTGGCAACGTACCCCAAAAAGGTAGCTTTTCTGCATATTTTAATCTTTAATGGTAACTCTCTGTTTTTAACCTCCCAGTAAGGTGTGCGGTGCAGATGGTTGGAGACCAAGAGGAATATGTCTGGAGGGTCTTCTGATTAATCCCTATTTAAGATAGTTTTCATTGTATATGACGATGCAGGTTTTTGTAATTTTAAGGTGTATTTGTAGGCACAAAATGGCAAAGTGTGCTTTAGTTTTGACTGCAATAAAAACCTTTATGGTTAAATAGAGTTTGCAATGTCTTCTCTTAAACCCACAATTACGAAGGAGCATGAAGTGCCCAAGACACGCGTCTGGTTCAGTATTTCCTGTCGGATGGTGGCACCAGGAGACACTTGTGGGAAGAGCACCCAAATCTGGCCACTTTCTGCTGGTCATTTCTAGCATCCCCAAGTGCTGTGTTTCTCAGAAAAGAAAGTTCTGTCAAACCCTGGCACCTATAATAAATTACACAGGGAAGTCATTACAAATCTGTTAATGAATTAGGTGACCCCTCAACGGGCTTCAAAACGGCAGCCCTCCAGACTTCATGGAATAGTGTTCTTTTAGGCAGCCTCTTAATTCTTCCGTTCATGGTTTCACTGTAAGAAGGACAAATGGAAAACATTAAGTCATCAGAAATCAATTAATCAGATCTGAGAACATGTACATTAAAAAGCCCTACTTACAAAGACCCAGATATGGCACAGTAAAGCAGAATTAGAGAGCATTTGGATCCCTGATCTGTGCATTTCTGTAAGCTTAGCCTGTTTGGATTACTTTTTTGTTTGGACTGTGATTTTTCTGTTTGTTTTTAGGGTAGTTGAACCTTCTTTATAAGCTATTTGACCTTAAATTGCTGGTGTGTATGCTTAAGTCTCAGCTCCATCTTAGTATAAACCTGGCTGGTTATTCTAGAACTTAAAAAAAGGAAAACCAACCGAAACCAGAACGGCTTTACAATTTTTTTTTTAATTTTTTTTTTCATCAGCAGAAGACATTCTAGTTATTTTTAAGTGCTCTCAGCGATACTAGAGTTGGTGTGAATTGTGGGGGAGCGCCCGGTCTGCTGGAGAGAAGTGTTTGCTCCGAGCTGCAGGTGCAGCCTTTGCGTGATTAAAGCTCAGCGTTTCTACAAGAAAATAACACTTTGCACCAATAAAACCGTCTCCTGACGTGATTTGATCCTTCCAGCTGCAGAGTTTCTTCTTTCTCACATCCAAGCATGACCCGTGATGCCGGCTGGCAAAGGACCACTTCGAATAATGCCTTCTGCTGTGGGTCACTGCATCTTCATGGGTGGTGGAGGTCCATGCCAGGGCAGGAGAAGGTGGCCTGGTGCTGTCTCCTCCTCCTGCCACGGCCCTCGCCTTGCTTTGCTTCTGCTCTTCTGTCATAATATTGACTTGCAAACAGATAGCTTTTTTTTTTTTTGCCAGTTGCTATGGTTACCTCTCAGCTACCGGCATCTCAACTGTGGAAAGGAGTAACAAGCAATACATTTCAAGCCTTAATGAAATGCACAGCAGTGTGTTAAACTTTTAAACCCAACGTGAATATCACTAAGCAACATCCATTTGTGATTTGCCATAATTACTGCTGCAAGCTGCTCGGGATTGAAATGCCGGAGCACAAGTCTTTCTCCTGCCCTGCATCAAATACGTTTTTCTGCCAGTGGCTTCACAGTATCTCAGACTGGTGATGTCTCATAGTCCCTTCACCGTTTCAAAGAACTAAGTTTGACCTCTTTAAATTATTCACACCTTCAGACCAGCGACATCTCCAAAGTCTCCTTTTGTGTGTATCGCCCATTTCCTTCTCATTCACTCCCAGAAATTTTTTTTTTAAAGACCTTTTATTCTTCTGCTTCCAAAATGTGAATCCAACTTGTTTCCCCCAAGCTGCTTCTTGCATGTTTGGAAGAACCAATTTCATCAGACCAGCGTTAATTATAAAATGAATTAAAATGTGTGCATGGTTGGTGCTTGGAGCTGTTTGCTCCAGTAACCGCACCAGAAGGAGCCGATGCCTCAAATCTTTTGAACTGGTGGTTTTCTGCAATGAGGTCTTATTTAGTGTCTGTCTTGAACAACGTGTTTTATCCATCATTTTGAGAAGTAAAATGAACCTGGACACTGGTTGTATGTCTGCTCTCCAGGCTTCAAGTCAAATGATTCATTGCACTGCCCGGTGCAATGGTGGTTTTTGAGTGAGTTGTGCTTGCAGGTGGGGTGGTTGAGAATATCTCTGTGCTCTGCCCGGTTTCTCTGCTGATCACTCTGATTCCCTCTCTTCTCTTCCTGTTTTACACGTAGCTCCGGATTTACCAATCCTAGAGAGGAAAAACTGGTTGATATATCTGCTGTATGTTCGCAGAGACTACGACGAGTGTAAGGTAAGAGCTGCTTTTGAGACTTTGCATTAGGAAATATATTACTAATGTTAGGAAACGATAGGTTTTGTACCAGTTCATACCACCCTCGTTCCTGACTTCTTTTGGAAGAGGACCAGGATTAAATACAAGGAAAATAATCTTAATGTTCTCAAATTGTTGGCTACCTTCAGGATTCATGCGCGCAGTTCTCTGGGGCGCTCTGTGAGCTCAGAATGTCTTTGGGAGGGGAAAAATGGAAAGAATTGCAAACTTCTCTTGTTCTGAGCAGTGAATAGCATCTTCCAAACTGATAATGATGCAGTTCCGTAGTGCAAGTCTCCCGATGGTGCTAGAGAGACGCTACGAAAAACACTTCATTTGAGTAAAACATTACTACCAAGTCTAAAAAAAAAGAGATGTTGGTTACCCTTGGACACAATTCTTTCATTTTACACTTGATAGGTTGTATCCTTTTATTTCTCCTGGGTTTGGTGGGTGGCCTGGAAGTGGTTGTTTGATTTAGGATTATAATGGTAAGTGGACTAAGGAAATAGCAAATCTATTAAATGGTGTGTTTTCCTGAGAAAACAAACACAAGCTATTGAAGATGATGTGCCAGCGGGCAGGAGGAGGGGAATAAGAGTTGCCTTCCTGTTTCTGTCATGTGCAAAAGAAGATCTTGAAAAGATATTTTTCCTTCTGCAGCAGCAGGGTTGGTCAGGACTTGCCTCTCGCTGTTGGAGAGCTCCTGGGGGTGCTTAGGAAAGTGGCAGGCCGGAGGAAATTCATTTAGCTCTTAATTAATGGAGCTGGAGGGTTGTATCATCAGCAGAACGATTTCCTCTCAGATCTTGGTTTAAGTAGATATAAACAAAAGTTGGGCTAGAAATCTAAATAGAAAATTCTTTCCCTTTCCTGCTGCATTTTTTTGGTCTGCCATTGTGTACTTTTACTGTCGCTGTGATGTGATGTAGGATCACAGGGCGCGGAAAAGATGTACAGCTCAGGAAAACAAAGAAAATAAGCAAATGGATGATACAATGGCAACATTGACTTCACCACGTCTTCATCAGTCATGGAAGCGAGCAAAATACGGGGAAAAAAAGGAGAGAAGACAGCTAAGGCTCTTTGGCTTGGCAGGCTTTGCAGTAGCTGTCAAAGTAAAAGGCAGCAAAGTAGGGGGTTTGCAGTAAAGTTGGAAGAGTTTGGCACCAGGCCCATAGCAGGTTAAATGATCTTCCATCCTCTCGCCCAGCTGTGATGGCTGTGTGCTCAGAGGCCTGGATTTGTCCCAAAGAAGATGGGAACCTCAGGAACTCCTCACTGAGGAGTGAGAGGCACGTCCAAAAGGCGATTCAGATCTTAGAGGGGCTGAGCTGCCCACCTCGGTCTCCTTCCATTGGTGTTACATGGGGTTATCCATCTCAACTGGATACCCCGGGTGCTTGTCCCTCTACACGATAAGCACAGACATTCCCAAACATACTGTTTGGGGATAATACCTTCAAAAATGAGAGGTATTGACAGTATTCCCTTAAATTGCTCTAAACTCCTTGATTTCAGTCCAGTTTGGTTATTTGTTAAAGTCTATTAGTTTTCTTTTAAGACTCAGCTGTGATGCTATTAATTTGGGGCGATTTTCAAAGCTCCCATATTTTTCAGTGATGTAACAGGCCAAGAAAAAACTGTTGGCCAACACTAGCTCCCCAAAGTGAAAACATTACATTGATTTTAACCCTTACGGTGCCACTCCCGTGTCTGTTTTGGTGTTGCTAAGATTTTGGTAAATTTTGCTGCTCGGGGGGAGTCGAGGGACAGACCCTGCTCAGCCCCGAGCATCACTCGGCTCTCACTCTTGGCGTGCAAAGCTAATAAACTGTATTTTCTGCTTGCAGCATCCATTCCAGCCCTGCCCCCTAACTGCTTTTTCACAATAGAAATCTTCCGCTTCTGTTATGTGCAAGGAAGGAATTATTAAAATTACCAGATGCTTTTAATTAATTAAAATCGCTCATGCTGGTTGGTCTCCTGCCAGTATGTCTAAATTCTGTCGGCGAGTTAAATAAACTTGGGAGGGAAAGCTGGGATTACAGATCGTATTTCTCAGCTCAAGGCCTTTTGCCATGGGATTTTTTAGGGCTTATAGAATTAATCAGATCTCTCTAAAAGATAGCTCTCTATTGCCCTCTCTTGCTCTGAGAAACTGGGTTTATGTAGATGGAGCAATATAGAGTATTTGTATTCAGGAGATGCTTGGTTACGTCTCAGTTAAGTGTTCTATAACAATGTACTTTGTACAGAGTATAATATAGATATATTAGCAGATACAGATCTGAGGGTAAGAGCAGCCTAGACTTGTTCTTTCTTTTTTTTTTTTTCCTGTCTTTGGCTTTCTTTTTTACGAGTGAGGCTTCTCAGTTGTAACCCTCCTCGCCTCCACCCCGCTTTCCCTGCTGTATGAGAGGTTCAGTTTTCCTCTCCTTGCTTTCAGGTCCTTCATCTATATTCGTCTGGGAGGCAGGGGATGCTGGTACTGATCATACACTTGACAGAAGTGCCAGATGAGCACCAGCTTATCGTGAGCCCATGAATCTTTTGTTCCTCCCTTGTCTCTTCCAAGCAAAGGAGGAGTCGCAGAGTAGAAATTATACTTCTGGTTAGTAGCCACGTCCTCCCAAAGGTCACTCTTTTTGACCACTTCTATAATTCCTGGTCATGTGTGACTATGGAAGGTAACCAAGCTGCACCCACACCCCAAACAGTTGGCATGAATTTACATTTTCATCAGGTTTTTTCCCCCTTCCTTTTCCCATGTACTCGTCATTTGTTCATTTGGCTTTCATTGACTCAGCTGCAGTTGCTTCAATTCAATTTATTTCTTCACAAAGGGCCTAGAGTAGATACCCTTATCAGCAGAGGATGCTTTCAGAGATGCCTTGTGGCGTTTTCCCCAGGTAATATCTAATTATCTTTGGTAATAGGAATGAACAGAGAAATGCTAAAAGGGCTACAGTATTCCTGGCATAGTGCTCTTCACACAGGGTGAGGAGCTTGCACTCTTCTGTGCACTCTTGTAGTTGTCCCAGCCGTGGTCCAGTGCCTTTATTATACGTGGAGTTGTGGTTTCTGTAACTGAAGCTGAATCTCTGTCATTAACTTTGTTAAAAGGATGAAAATTTACCACTCTCCTAGCACTTAAATATAATATATTGCAGTTAACTATCCACAAATTCTGTGTTAATATTGACTTTTCCAAGCGCAAACTGTGATTAAACGAATGTTGTAGTTGTCATGCCCTGTGTGATACCACCTTTATGATCACTTAAGTAGAACTGTGTCCATCAACATGTTGCATGGTGTTTGAATTCAAGTCATTTTATGGCATTCTGCAATAAGCACAGATACAGCACAACTATATCTAGCACATACAAAAAAATTCCCCAAGTCAAGGTTGCAGAAGGTATTTGGTCAGTCAGAAACCATTTGTCTTCCATAGGGACTGCCTTTATTAAAATAATTGAAGGGTTTATATTCTTCTGAAAGGTGCCATGGTGCAGCTTAGGAATGGGGTAACAATAACCCAGCTTTTTGGTGAGGGAGTCTGTGTTTGGTGTTTACTCTCTGCACTTTCTCATTTCAGGCTGTCATCAAAGAGCAGCTCCAGGAGTCTCATGGGCTGTGTGAATACGCAGTCTACGTTCAAGGTATGTCACAAGAGGCCTCCAAAAGCCTTCATTTTGCTTAAACGAGTTATTTCTGATTTGAGATACAGTGAACAATAAGAAGGGGAACAGATGATAGAAACATCCAGAATTCATATATTTTTAAAAGTTGGCTTTTTTCTCCTTGCTAGGTGTAGTTTAGAAGTTTGGGATTTTCACATGGGTGGGCAGATTCACTTTCTGTTTTCTCTGTGTCAATTAATTCCTCCAGTTCCTCCTCTTGACCCTCAGTGTGTCGGTGTGTGCTTGGGTTGTGTGTTTGATTGTATTCCAGCTGCATGTTTTCCATTAGAGCTGCCTGCTTCAGGTGACCGTTGTCTTCCTCTGTGCTTCCTCTTCTTGTCCTGCCCTCTGTCCCCCAAAAAATGTGCCCCAAACTTGGCATTGCAATTCAAAGTGCCGTGGTGGGGGACAGCAGAAATTTGTTGGCTAAGGAGATGCTACAGCCTGTAGAAGTTGGAGATGGGGAGGGTAAATCCAGACTGCATCTTAAGGAGTGATTTGCTGGGGTTTAAAGCTGCCTTTGTTCTAAAGAACAGGAATTTTTCCAAGCAAGCAGGAGTCCTTTGCCTGGTTGTCATTCTGCCCTCAGACACAGCTTCTGCCTGAGGTTGCTGCAGGAGGGGGGAAAGACCAAATAAGTGTTGTTTTAATATATCTGTGCTCCCCCTTCTTCCCCTGCTGTCAGAGAGGCACATTTTTCCTGTAGATAATGGACTAATTTGCCTACTATATGTTGTCTTACAGCTCTGATATTTCGCTTGGAGGGGAAAATTCAAGAATCTCTTGAACTTTTTCAGACGTGTTCCATTCTGAACCCTCGAAGCGCCGACAACCTCAAGCAGGTGGCACGATCGCTGTGAGTGGTGTTTTATTGTTTCCCTTTGATGTGCCACCCAGGACCTTCCATGTTTCGTTTTTCTCCCAGGCATCAAGCAAAATCCTGGGCTGCTTAATTCCAAACATGCTTCCTCCTTATCGACGCTTGAGTTGGCTTCCAGAAGCGTGGGCTACCCTTAAAAGCAGCATCTCTCTTATCTGCCTGGCTGCCATTGTATTTTCCTTTTCTTTGTGCTTTGGGCACAAAGAAAACACACTGATCTCTAGCTCCAGAGCTCAGGGTGCTGGCTGGAGCTGTGTAAAATTGCCTTACAGACCCCTTTCTGTCTCTGGGTGCCCAGTTAGATCACCTCTTTTTTTCCTTTGAGACAAAGGCAGACTGCAGAGGCTGGGAATTCATTCCTTGCATCTCCAGTAACGCCTCAGCATCTCACAGGATTGATGTCCTTGGCCCTGAAAGGCAGCAGTGCTCAGGTTTTAATATCCCTGAGACTCTAAACTTCTCAGGGCTTCTCACGTAGGTCTCTGGAGAACCAGCAAATAGCGTCATTTCTCACTGGCAAAGGTGATAGTGGATGCACAGCAGGGTTTTGGAGCCAGAAAAAATAAAAATTGAAATGCTTTCACAGGTTTCTTTTGGGGAAACACAAGGCAGCCATTGAAGTGTACAATGAAGCAGCTAAACTTGATGAGAAGGACTGGGTAAGTGTTTCGGTGAGTTGCAGATTATTGCAATATGCAGATGTTTCTACAGTTTTATGAAGATGGCTGCGAACCAGTTCCAAGCAGAGGTGAGCTGCTGCTGCCCAGGAGCTGCAGGCTGGGATCACAGGAGCCAAGGCAGCACTTCTGCCTGCAAAATCCCACACCTTGTCTGGGGGCACAGAGAATCGAGCAACGTGTTGGAGCTTTGCGAGGTGTTAGTATTAACATAGCCATATGTAGTACAAAGAGCTAAATTACAGTAAGGAATATATAGGAAGGAGCTCCCTGTTTGGAAACCCTCAGTTATCATTAAAACTCACTTGAGTAATTGAGAATCTTTTTGTAATGAAAAACACTATTGAGAAAGATTACCCTCCAACTAGCTGGGAGGGTTACTGGTTACCTACTGAGCTTTACCCATTTTGGCAAAACGTAGACCAACAGCTACAGGAGCAATAATTAAAGTAGCTCTTCTGTATAAGCAGACAAAAAGTGAAGGAAGAGCACTGGAAAGGGAAACGTGTGACAGTGGGTGAGAGGAGAGAGGACGTGGCTGTGGGCAGCCTTCTGCAGGCGAGTGTTTTGCCCGCGGAAGTGTTGTTTCGAAGAGACTTGCTACGTGTGATCTCCTTCCCTCAGACATCAGGCACTTGCTGACTTCAGCCGTACTTCTGCTGCTCAGGACATCTCAAATTCAGTCTTGATACAAGGATATGGTTGGTGTTACTCAACTTATCCTGTGCCAGACACCTCGGAAACCTTTTATACTGGGGGTCTTCTTTCAAGGCTGCATTCCCTTAGCTAGGCAGGCTACCTGCAGTATGCACCTGGCATGCCTAAAACCCCTTTTACAGCCACAGTGGGCAGAATTCAGGGGGTATTTTGATGACCTGTTTCCCATGCCAGGCTCCATCCTGAAGTGGAGCCAGCCTGTGCCCTTCCCTTGTGCTGTCTCATTCCGTGAGTTCAGTAACCAGGAGTCACCCATCCATTGCTGCTCTCCACAGCTGGAGAGAGTGTGCGGAGGAAAATATCATTCTAAGAGGGTTAATGGGGAAATAAGAGAGTTTCCCCTTTAAAGGTCAAGGCTGTCTAAACTGATGAAGCAGTGAAATGCTCACCAGAATAGAAACGAGGGACTAGTGGACTTTGCTTTTCAGCTTCCCGAGATGTGCCAGGGTGGGGGCAGTGGCAAGTAGCTTGTCTGTTAAACTCTTGGTGATGAATCAGAGGTGTGATTCTTCCCTACGGTGTCTCCAGAGGGGTTAGGATCCCTAAGGGATCTTCCAAGGGATCTTCCTACTCTGGTGCAAAATTGTTTAAGATGCCAGAGGGATGTCAGCCCTTCTGGAGCTCAACTTTCACTTTGGAAAATGAGTCACATTTTCAAATTTTGTTCAGCTGGGTGCAGCATTTTGCATATCCAGTGCCTTTTGTGTCCAATCACAAATAAACTCAGTAGGTCCCTGAAGCAACTTGGATTTATAGATTTACTTGATGTCCACAACCAGAAGGGTGTGGGCAGGCACAGGGGTCTCCCCATCCGGGTCAGTGATGACTGTTATCACCGGCAGATTACGGAGCACGTATTCAGACCTCATGCTGATCTGATTTTGGGGGTTTTGTTGTCTTTTTTACAGGAGATCAGCCACAACCTGGGTGTGTGCTACATGTACCTGAAACACTTCAACAAGGTAGTGCGAATACTCCTCTTATCTCTCTGACAAATGGGAAGCAGGGGTTCCCAGAAATGTCACTCTCTCTGGTAGTTTGAAGCGGGTTGTTTGCAGCAATTGGTATTGAAAAAGTTTTTTTGCTTCAGCCTTTGGTTCTGGGAGCAAAAGTTTGTGAGCTGTCCCTGCTTTCGTTTGCATGTTGAATTACATGGAGTCGGCTGTGAGTCAGCGAGGCTGGAAAAGAGTGAAGCTGAGGTGAGCCTTGTTGCTGGCCAGGAAGCTTTTTCCGAACTAGGATTTTTCAGAGAGTGTTTCTGGTTTTAAAGGGAATGTTTGAGAAACCCGGAGCACGTATTCAGACCTCATGCTGATCTGATTTTGGGGGTTTTGTTGTCTTTTTTACAGGAGATCAGCCACAACCTGGGTGTGTGCTACATGTACCTGAAACACTTCAACAAGGTAGTGCGAATACTCCTCTTATCTCTCTGACAAATGGGAAGCAGGGGTTCCCAGAAATGTCACTCTCTCTGGTAGTTTGAAGCGGGTTGTTTGCAGCAATTGGTATTGAAAAAGTTTTTTTGCTTCAGCCTTTGGTTCTGGGAGCAAAAGTTTGTGAGCTGTCCCTGCTTTCGTTTGCATGTTGAATTACATGGAGTCGGCTGTGAGTCAGCGAGGCTGGAAAAGAGTGAAGCTGAGGTGAGCCTTGTTGCTGGCCAGGAAGCTTTTTCCGAACTAGGATTTTTCAGAGAGTGTTTCTGGTTTTAAAAGGAATGTTTGAGAAACCTCAAAGATCCGCCTCAAACTAGACAGAAATCCAGCCATGCTCCAACAAGAGCTGCTTCTGTTTCTGAGCCCTTTAAAGCCAGAACCATAACCATGTACCTGAAACACTTCAACAAGGTAGTGCGAATACTCCTCTTATCTCTGACAAATGGGAAGCAGGGGTTCCCAGAAATGTCACTCTCTCTGGTAGTTTGAAGCGGGTCATTTGCAGCGATAGGTATTGAAAAAGTTTTTTTGCTTCAGCCTTTGTTTCTGGGAGCAAAAGTTTGTGAGCTGTCTCTGCTTTCGTTTGCATGTTGAACTACGTGGAGTCGGCTGTGAGTCAGTGAGGCTGGAAAGAGTGAAACTGGGGTGAGCCTTGTTGCTGGCCAGGAAGCTTTTTCCGAACTGGGATTTTTCAGAGAGTGTTTCTGGTTTTAAAGGGAATGTTTGAGAAACCTCAAAGATCCGCCTCAAACTAGACAGAAAACCAGCCATGCTCCGACAAGAGCTGCTTCTGTTTCCGAGCCTTTTAAAACCAGAGCCATAAAACACTGCTGGTTTTGTGAGGAGCAGCAATCCACGGAGCATGCCAGTTCTGTCCTCTTGAAGAAAGAGAAGTGGATGGTGAAGATCCAAACCCGTTTCCCCAGCGTGCAGCTCAAACTGCTGCAGCTCACACAGAGAGTTTCTGCAGGAAAACTTGCTGCCCCTTGGGTCTGGCAGGACTCAGCGGGAAGTCACGGGGTTGCTTTGCTGGAGGTACCTTCCAGCAGGCACCTTCTTTCCTCCATGGGAAGGATTTATTTGTTCCTGTGTCTGAAGCTCCACTAAGCCCAGAGCAAAAGTCACAGAAAAGCACAGTTGCAGCGTGGGGGCACTAAGTTTATTAGCTTTGTAGCTAATAAAGAAGTTCTTGGAAGCTTGGCATAGAGTTTTGTTCCCAGGTCTGAGCACGCTCTATCCAGCTCTTCCTTTAACCCTGCCCTAGGTGCTCGTGGTGAGCTCTGGGCTGTCTCTGACCCCGTGGGGTTACTTTGTAAAGGAAAAAACAGCATTTTAGAAAACTTTTGTTCCCACTTTGGACCAGCTGCTCCCTGCTGCTGTTTCTGGTGGAGTGCTGTGGCCCCTGCTGCCTTCCCTGTCCGAGGCATCTCTGTAAAGCAAGAAGCTCTGGAGTTCACCTGTGGGCTTCATTGTCTGCAGTGATGCCTTCCAGACTGGAACCTGCTGACTTCTCAGCTTTTCCACGAGCCTGAGATGTACTGGTCACCCTGGGCAGCAATACTTCCATGGGGATGTCTGAAATATAACGAAGCCCTTGGGGGTGACTGTCTCTTCAGTAGTTGCTGGTAACAGATATCTCATATTGCAGAGTTCCATTAGTGTGTCAGCATTTCTCTCTCTAATAGATCATGTGCTCAGAGACAGCAAACGTACTTTTCTGTCCTGCTGGCTGGGCCTGAGGAAGTAAGAGCTTCCAAGCTTCTAAGTGTCTCCCGTTGGAGGGGATTGGTGTGTGCCTGGCAAGAGCTGATTCACTCCTCTTGTCTACTTGGCAATCCATGCTCCTTGCTGGGATAAGCATTTTAGCGAAGAATAAACTGTAATGTAGCTGTTAACCTGACAAATCTGGAGATTCCCTCAAACCAAATTCAAATGCAGGAACAGGCCCACGCTTTTCTCCTCCTTGGGAGGTCATTGCCTCTTCTCTTGGCTTGGAGCACGCCGTGTTGCCTTTTTCTGTCCCTAAAAGCACGTGGGTTGATGTGGAACTCGTTTCAACAATGAGCTGGGCTGGTTTTTGCTAGCAGGGGGTGTTAGCTGTTCCCTTTTGCTGGCTGCTGGGGATTGCTCTTGGGCTGTTGCTTCCCTAAGGACTCTGTAATTGCTGATTTTATTTTATTTTTTTTATTCTCTGTGGTTGTGTGTTTAGGCACGAGACCAGCTAAACAATGCCCTGGAGCTCAACAAACATGATCTGACTTACATGATGCTGGGGAAAATTCACCTACTGGAGGGGGAGACGGATAAAGCCATTGAAGTCTATAAGCAAGCTGTAGAGTAAGAATATATCCCTTTTTCTATCTGCCCATGTCCCGTCCTGTGCCAGGAGAAATTTGATTGGTGTCCCAGATCTGAATTGAGGACATGATTAAAAAGCTAATGGTAATTATAGTGTCTCTGTGCAAAGCTGGCGCTTGCAAGCTCTTCAGCTGTCTCTGCTCTCAGCTGTGGTCCTCCTCCTGCTGACAGCGTGTCAGGGAAGAAGGTAGCTGTTTGAAGGTCTGCCAAAAAAAAGTGGAAAAACAAATGGACAGAGATGCCTGGGAGCGAGCCTATCCAGAACTGACTTCATCAATCCCAAAGGTTTATCTACCAAAAAAGATCTAACCCCGGGTGTCCCTCTAACCCTGATCGTCTGTCAAAAATCAGTTGCTGGGTTTCACATGCTGTTTTCACTTGCAGTGATGTATGTTTGAGAGGCTGTGAGCAGGCAGGCTGGAGATGGGGGTGCACAGTGAGCTTCTCCCACCCCGACCCTGTTTCTCAGTATGATCTATCTTGGTTTTGGGCATTCCTGAGCATCGGATTTACCAATGCTTTTAAAATGGAGTTGTGTAACGGAGGCAAACGCTGAAGAGAAGCAGGAGCATGCTGGAAGCCAGGGCAGGGTCTGGTACCTGTTCTTTTCAACTACATCTTTACACGTCTGCTTTTGGCTGCTATCTGGCAGCATATTGGGTTGGGTTGACTTTTGGACTAATCTAGAATGTTTATTACTTAAATAATCCATGCTAAGCATCTTACCAGGTTTATATTTCTTATCTCAGTGCCCCCCTGCCCTCCCTTCTGCCTCACTCCTGGGGTTTTTTTTCTATATTTTTTGTTGTTCTCATCTGCCTATGACTTTTTTGCCTGCTGTTCCCAGCTCCAGGATAGCCTGTTGTTGCTCTGTGCTTATACACCATCAGGCACAGACAGTTTTGTTCTGGTTGAGGTGTAGAGGTGCATATTAGATTTCTTAAGTCTTGATAGTAAGGAATTGAAAACTTCCTTCTGTTAAGGTGAGTGAGGCCACAAATATAGTGTCTCTTTCTGCTTTTTCTTTTTTGTTGTTGTTTTCATCCTATGTAATGTCTTCAAAAGCTGCTGGGAGGGGGGATGCTTTTAAAAGGGTTCACAAAATTGCTGTGTGAACTTCACACTGGCAGTGAAGGACTGGGGGTTACGTACGACGCTTGAAAGCCCTTGGGATGTATTTTTTCAGGCTTTTTTGGGCTCAGGGGATGGGTGCATATGGGCAGGGATATGTGAGCAGGTAGTGAGTGCCTCTCTGAGCTCTCTGCTCTGTGAGCTGCAGCCTAGCACAAAGCCATGGTGAACAGCCCACAGCTGGTCTGTGAAACCAGGTTTGTAGTCTTTTGATGGGGTGAATTAAAAAAGTCTGACAATGAGCGTGTGCAGGATCCATCAGGAATGCAGAGGATTGCCTGGCCTACACAGCCCAAGAGGCTTGGAGTGGATTTGCAGGGTGGTTTACAGGAGATGATGGAAAATCCCATTTTGTATTTCCAGGTCACTGATGCGTACTCTCTTTGAAGCTTAGCAAAACCACGTCATCTTATTATGTATCCAGATCTATTTTATGGAGCTGTGTTGACTTCTCATTTATATCACGGAATCACGGAATTGTCAGAGTTGGAAGGGACCTATCTAGAAGATATTTTAAAAGCTTAGGTGTGATATTGTTCAAAAGAAGTCCCTGTGATGGCAATCGTTCTAATATTTGCATTTAATAATAACAGTTAATTTCCTGGAGTGATACCAGTATAATGTAGCATCAATAGTTCCATGTTGTTTTTACCTTGTTCTAGAAGGGCTCATAAACAACACAGCACTCTGGCTTTTGTATTACAGGTTTTCTCCAGAAAACACAGACCTCCTTACAACACTGGGGTTACTTTACTTGCAGGTACTGAAGCCTCTTAGCTATTACGTGAACTTAATTATTTTCAAAATGACCGAGGGTTTGTTTTTTTTTTATAGAGTTAATTTCTATCCACCTTCCTATGACTCGCACATCTTTCTCTAAAGCCTGCATTTAACATGACAGAGCTTGCTTTTCTCTATCTTCTTTTTTCCTTTTTGCTGCTAAAAGCAATTTGATTTCCTGGACCTGAGCCAGAGCAGGAATTCTCTTTGGCAACTGCCCTAATTCTGTTATAAATCCTCCAAGTATAACAAAACATGACGAGTCATTACCTTGCTTTTGGAGCAGGAGTCTAGCAAGTTATTCGCCTACAAAAGCAGCCATGAAATTGTTAGTGTTAATGCACCATGGAAGAAAATCGGAATCGATTTAAATAACAAAGGCATGCTTATCACTTGGGTCTGCAAAATGTATGGGAAGGATGGTCTGATTATTCCAAATGTAAGCTTCCCAAAGAAGTGAACAAGCAAAGAAGAATAGGCGGTGTTTGCCTGGAAGGACCGATGGGCTAGAAAACTTGTACCAAGAGCTGATTTGGAAAGATCCTCAGGCATTTCCCTAATCGTTTAGATGTTCAGGAATATGATGTAGGTCTTGAGAAACATTGCCTTGCTCTAGAGATAAGGAAATTCAATAGGAGCCTTGGGTGCATTAAATGGGTAGGTGTAGATTTAGAAGGGAGTATGACATAGGAAGGGGGATCTGTAAGATACAAGTAGTGTGAGTACGACATTTGCCCTGTAAATTTAGCCCCCAGGTCTCTGTGCTGAGTTTGTCAAGTCTCTCTGGATACACACTCACCTTCAGGAGTTCTAAAGATGCTTCTACAGCTCTCCCACTTGCTATTAATCACAGAAGGCACTGGACTCTGAAGCATCAGTGTAAATGCTGGGGTGACAGATGGGCTTCTCATCCATTTTTGTGATGGCCAAAAAAAGGACACCAGTATCCAGAATCTTACCCTCTTTGGGCTGGTACAATTCTGGCATAACTCAGTTGAAAACAATAGGATTTAAGGGATTCTGAGCCATTATGTGCTTATATCTGGACACAGTCATGCCCACTAACAGTTGTTACAAGACAAGGGGAGAGTTTTTCCCAGGAGCAGAGTGCCCCAGGGAGTGAGGAGGTTGTGGTGAGGGAATCCAGGGTGTGCAGAGACGCGATTTGTAGCCTCTTTTCTGGATGAGAGGAAGAAGCAGAGAAGTATCAACCCAGAGCTCACTCATGTATAGAAAAATCAGAGCACAAACTATATGGAAAACTTTGGTTTGGTCAGAACAGTGATAATAAATAAATTTGTTTTGTAGATTATCAAACAAGAACATGTTTGTGTAATGGGCAGACTGTAAAATCCACTTTTCTGAATATTTGTCTTCACTGAACTAGAAATTCTAGTGCCCAAAAAGCATGCGCTCTTCTTCTTAACCCCCCTTATTCCTGAATTTCTGATTCTTATTTACTTCTTTTCCCAGCTTGGGGATTACCAGAAGGCTTTTGAACACCTTGGAAATGCGTTAACTTACGACCCAGGCAACTACAAGGTATGATGAGGAGTGGAAACGAACCAGCTGAATGATGAAGAGACACCTCTTAAAGCTAATTCCAGTATCAGAGCTTTGCCAAGTGATACACGCACATTGTGAAAACACCTTTACACTTACAGTTTTTACTTGTCACTGTGAAATATTATAAGGGACTGAACTAGTGTGGTTTAAATATAGTGTGTTGCGATCACTTGCTTTTTTTCCCCCTGTGCATATTTCCATTAATTTGCAGGATCAGCTGCTCAGTGTGAACTTGGTTGGCTTTTCTTTCTTTCTTTCTTGGCATATGTCTTGCTTGTGTATGTTTTACTCTCTGCTTAACCTGCACCAGAACTATTTCTATCCATCCTTGTTGGTAAAAAGAAACGTTTAGTGCCTAGATCTTCTCAGAGGCTCAGACTGTAGGAGATACTACTGTCATGGAATCACGGAATTGTCGGAGTTGGAAGGGACCTTCTAGAGCCCATCCAGCCCAACTCCCCTGCCAAAGCAGGGCTGCCCAGAGCACATCACTCAGGAGCATCCAGGCGGGGCTTGAAGATCTCCAGAGAAGGGGACTCCACACCCTCCCTGGGCAGCCTCTGCCAGGGCTCTGCCCCCCTCACCCCAAACAAGTTCTTCCTCACATTGGAGGGGAACTTCCCATGGTCCAGCTTGTGCCCGTTGCCCCTTGTCCTGTCACTGGGAACCACTGGGATGGAGTCCGGCTCCATCCTCCTTCAACCCACCCTTTAGATCCTTGTCAGCATTAATGAGGTCACCCCAAAGCATACTCTATAAACGCTTGTCAGGTTGCAATATTTTGGAGATGGTTATGATGGAGATGGTGCAGGAAGAACCAGACTCGAGTCCCTTCTTTACCCTGTCTTCTGCTGAGTTGGGAGATTCTGGAGCCCCTCTTGGCAGCCCCTAGAAGAAAACACCTGAAGAAGTTCAATGGTTGCTCTTGAGATAGCTTTAGTTTATTAGTTTTGTCCTGTTGTCTTCTTGCTGTATTCGGGGAACCTCAGTTCCTCAGCTGGTCACTTGTCTTCTCTCAAAGGCTACCTTGGCGGCTGGCAGCATGATGCAGGCCCACGGGGATTTTGATGTTGCCCTCTCCAAATACAAGGTGGTAGCCAGCACCGTCCCCGAAAGCCCCCCGCTGTGGAACAACATCGGGATGTGCTTCTTTGGGAAGAAGAAATATGTAGCAGTAAGTGTCTGGTTTCCTTTCTTTTTTCATACTTCATGCAAGACCAAGATTCCTCCTGTGGCAGAGATGGGTCTGTTCTGGGTGGGCTGCCTCACAGCACGCTTATTCCTGTTTTTGAAGGCTGTCAGCTGCCTGAAGCGGGCCAACTATTTGGCTCCCTTTGACTGGAAGATCTTGTACAACTTGGGGTTGGTCCACCTCACCATGCAGCAGTACGCCTCCGCCTTCCACTTCCTCAGCGCTGCCATCAACTTCCAGCCCAAGATGGGAGAGCTGTACATGCTCCTGGCAGGTACGCAGTGCTGCGGTGTCCAGCTCAATTAGAGACACAAATTCTGAGCTGAATGAAACAAATATTGAGGTCCGTAACAAGTGGTATTCCCCAGGGTTCGGTACTGGCTCCAGTCCTCTTTAATCACAGAATCACAGAATCTTCTAGGTTGGAAGGGACCTTAAAGATCATCTTGTCCATCCGTCAACCTAACTGACAAAAATAGACACCCACACAACAAACAAGGAGCATCATCACTAAACCAGACCTCCCAGCACTACATCAACCCGTCTTTTGAACACCTCCAGGGATGGTGCCTCAACCCCCTCCCTGGGCAGCCCATTCCAATGCCTGAGAACCCTTTCTGTGAAAAAATTTTTCCTAATATCCAGCCTGAACCTCCCCTGGCGTAACTTGAGGCCATTTCCTCTCGTCCTGTCACCTGTGACTTGAGAGAAGAGACCGACCCCCATCTCTCTACAGCCTCCTTTCAGGGAGTTGTAGAGAGCAAGAAGGTCTCCCCTCAGCCTCCTCTTCTCCAGGCTGAATAACCCCAGCTCCCTCAGCCTCTCCTCATAAGACTTGTGCTCCAGACCCCTCACCATCTTTGTCGCCCTTCTCTGGACCCGCTCCAGCACCTCTATGTC